ACTCCTCCCAGCTTTGTGTCATCAGCAAACTTGCTGAGGGTACACTCTGTCCCTTCATCCAGGTCATTGATGAAGAAGCTGAACAAGACTGGGCCCAGTACTGACCCCTGGGGGACACCACTAGTTACTGGCCTAAGAGTCCCAGGAGCTCCAGCTGCATTGTTTTGGCAATGCTCACAGTTTTGCCAGCTGCATAGAAATAAATCATTTTAAGAGAAGCCTCAGGACTGTCCTCAAAAGATATCACAAACACACGCTGTGTGAATGGGTCTCTGACAGGTGTTTAAATTATATCTTTGTCATATAATTTCATTTGGACTTATTCTGGTCAAGAAGGCAGACAAGTTTTAAAATGGGGGCGAGGAAGCCCAGACACATTAATTACTTTTCAAAAAAAATTTTTTAGAGGTATGTAGAGAAAAATGACTGTAGTGTTGGCAAGGACAATCATGTCGGCTTTCCCCTGCGCTTATATGGCTCACTTTGGAAGACTGGGATGCATTTTAATTTAGTGGGATTGTATTTGAATTAGAAACCAAATTAAGTTATTCCTCTCAGGGGGTGAGGTGGGGAGGCTAATGATTTCCTGCTTTACATTAAATATAAAGGAGGAAGACAAACATTTCTTTTTGTTTTAAATTCAATGAAGTAATCTTTCTCCTAAAAAAAAAAAAAAAAAAAAAAAAAAATTTTTTTTCTTTTTCCGTGGCCCACTTTTGGAAAAAAAAAAAAAAAAAAAAAAAGTTGTTCTGCTTTTCAGTGGCTCAGTTGTGGCTGGGGTCCAGACTTTCAGCAACTGCACAGCTGTCTTTCTACCAGATTTAACCTGATTGATTTTTCCTACTTCCTTCTGAAGCTTAAAAACCAAACCAAAGCAAACCTCTGAGCTTAACTTGCAATAGAAAACTGGTAACAAGACGCAGTTTTACTGCCATCCCATTAGTCAGTCTGTTGCTAACTCAAATTATTTGGATTCCCAGCTTTCATTTACTCTGTTGCAGTTACTGAGAATAATGGACTCTAGGAAGGTGAGCTAAGAAAGAAGGAAATTGTGTGTTTTCATTGTATGTTATACTATTTAAAGGGACTTTCTGGAGAGTCTTGAAGGTTCAGGAAATAATTTCTCAGGGTTTGTGCTTTTATCAGAGAAATCAGGGAAAGCCACAATTAATGTTGCCATTTTATATTAAAGATTCTAACCCCTAGCATTTTTTGCATTGCTACTGCTTTTATGTTCTGCAAGCTGTATACTTGGCCAAACTAGCAATTGATACTGATTTAGCTGCTCATGTTCTAGAAAAATTTGCTCTAACAATTTTTCCTTTTTCCTACTGTCTCTAAGGTGCTTTGCAATGTTGATGAGTTGTTTGATCGAGAAGAGTTTTCGGCAGCTCCTGATTCTGGCTGGCCTGACTGCTTTAACAGTGGTGTATTTGTCTTCCGACCTTCTTTGAAAACGTACAACCGACTGCTCCGGTTTGCTGCTGAGCATGGCAGCTTTGATGGTAAGGGGTAAGGCATAAGTGATGAAGTGCAAGATGTTACATTCCTTCTCAGTAAGCTGTTTTTTCCATAGCTTCCATGCTATCAGGGCGAACAGAGGAAGGCAGGAGTTCTCTGGCCTGTACATAATTGGGCCCCCCGCAAAAATGTAAGGTGCAGACCTTTGCCTCTTACACTGTACTTAAGACCCATTGACTTATTGCTGACTGTGCTTCCCAGAAAAGGGCAATAAGGGACATTGTGTCTGAGTCGTGCTCAGTAAGTTTTAATTTTGATGTCTGGTTTAGGAGAGAGAAATACAGCTGATCGTCAGTCTTCTGCTCTGAGGGAGACCAAAACCCTTTCCTCCTCCTTTCTTCATATATTACAGTAGGACTCCATTTATACTGAACGTGTATCGGAGTGGATCAGGTATTATTCACTTGTGCCTGCTCACGTGGCCATATTGTCAAGTCCAAGTTGCAGTCCCATGAACACATCAGTCTCGCTCTCATTTTTGGATGTGAAATTGTGACATAAATTTGAGTGTATGCATAATTATAGTAATACTGTTTTATGTATTCTTTAGGCGGTGATCAAGGCTTGTTGAATAGCTTCTTCAGCAACTGGGCAACAGCAGATATTGGCAAACACTTACCTTTCCTCTATAACTTAAGCAGCAGTGCTGTATACACCTACGTCCCTGCTTTCAATCAGTAAGTAGTAACACTTCTGACAGGCTGTAAACCTCTGTAGTTTGTTAATGAACATTCTATTGTAAGAGAGAATAATAGTAGCATATTCTGTAGATTATAAATTGCAGTAGTCAGAAATGGTATTACATAACTAACTTAAATGCAATATGAATGTCTTGCATCTGGACACAGAGAGAGCCCCAGAGTTGGCTACATTGTCTCATGTTGTTTCAGAGAAGATTTTCTCATATTTGAAAAGATGTAGATTACTTTAGCATTAGATTCTGACATCTTTACTTTGAAAGTTGTTCCTTTCTTTTCCAGTCAGTTCTATAGGAAACAGTTGGGTTTCCTTTTTTGAATTTTTTTAAGCCATTTCCTAGATTCTTACGTAAAACAAAATTTGTGCTAGTAATTAGATGACTTCAAACAATGCAGTTAGAGAAAGTTTTCTGGCAGAAGGCAAGTTGGATTTAGGGTGTCATGAATTACGGTTCCAGTTACACAAAACACTCTTACTGGAAGGTGAACTTAGGATGATGTATTTATTAGTAATTTAACGCGGGATCAGTAATAACCAATTTTGTTGATTCGGTATTTGAAGTGGTATTTATTTGTTTGTGGACAGAGTATGCAGGGGGATGGGAAATGGTACTGCCTCAGCCTGTCACTTTTCCTTCATGAACTTTTCTACTGGATTCAGCAGCTGGAAGCAAAGGGCAATGCAGCCTTTTGTTTTCTGTATGCTAAACGAGATACCTTAAACTAATAAGACAGAGAAAATATAAATGTATATACTCATACTGAATGTCTTGCTGTTGAAAAAATGTTGAAATTACCTCAGCAGTGAGAGTAAACATGTTTCTTTAGCAGTTTATATCAGCTAAAAAAGAAAATATTTAATATATAGTCCCTCTATGTTTACTCTCTCTCTACAGGTTTGGTAGAGATGCCAAAGTTGTTCACTTCTTGGGAGCAACAAAGCCCTGGAACTACAAATACAACCTTCAAACAAAGAGAGTTATGCAGGATGGCACCACCTCTGGATCTTTTCACCAGCTGTCATTTCTTGCGCTCTGGTGGAATATATACAGTGCCAATGTATTGCCTTTGTTAGAAAAATTTCAAAAGATGGAAGAATCAGAATCTGAGGAATGCAAGGTAATTAATAAGGAGTTAATGGGAATATGCTGGAATCACAAGAAAAATTCTGAAAATTATGTGTTTGCTGAAGGAAAGAATTACATGGGAAAACATAGTATCTGTTGATTGGTAGGAGCAGTGATTGCTTCTAGAAGCATCTAAACTAGCAGTTTTGGAAAGATTTGTAGTACTATTGGCTTTCCAAAGATTTCCCTCAGCCCTTTTCTTAATTAATGAAGAGTCTGTATGGGAATATGTATATGTAGATTCTGCAAATTAAACACAAAGTGTGATACAAATTAGCCAGAGAGGGTGATAATCTGGCTATGAAACAAACACACTTTTGACTTTTTGAAGATAAGTTGATGTAGACCATCAAATGAGCCCTTTGTCTCTACTAAAATTTACTTTTTCAGAACTGCATTATAATTTGTTTTATGAGGGTCATAGCAAATAAATCAGATATGCAAAGGCATTGTTAATTACACTTAGGATATTATATTCAGTACTCCTACGTCATCAAACATTTACTAAGGTAAATTTGTTTTTTTCTTCAAAGGAGTGCATCAATATATGGTTTCCATGAGCAGAATAAAAAAAATATGCTGATAAATAGATGATTTCTTGGAGACCAGAAGCATAAAGTAATGAGTAGGAGAAGTATGATTTTTAATTTTGTATCCAGACATGAAAATTTAGATCACTTTTAGGCATATGTAAATATTTTCTTAATGTTTTTTAATATAGACTATTACCATCGTTGAACTAATTGCGTGGTCCCAGAAGATCAGTTGGACAATTACCATCAAAGCCTCAGAGAGGAATTTGGTTTGCTAACCTCTTAACAAATTGGAAAGCAGAGGAAGGAATGGATAGTTTTTAGTCTCGTACTTTAACATATTTTAATTTTTAAGAAATTGTGCGGTAAAGAGATAGTTCAGCTACAGTAACATGAAGGTAGAAATATCTGTTAATTTACCTCCTGATGATGCTGGCATACTCATGAGTGCAAAAATCTAAATTGCAACATACTCTGAATCTAGGACCACAGAATTTTTTAGTTTATTAACTTACTCCTTTAATGCTGAAATCCCTGTAAGGAAGTGAAACTGTTGCAAATATGATATTAATTTCCTGCAAAATACTATTTCAGTGGTAAAAAAGTGGTTCTTCTTTTTGCTAGCACACTTTCAATGGAGTTGAAATTACACTGAAAAAGGTCAGTCCTTATGTGGCCAATTCTCTGCAAATGCCTGTGCTTCCAGAGCAGCCGTACGAAATACATCCCACAGCACGTTCACCTGAGGAACTCACTTTTGAAACTGTAAGTATGTTATATATTGCTATGTGTAATAACAAAGTAAAATGGTATACTAAAATGAGATTTTTTTAAATTATGCTTCTGATCTGGGAGATTATATCTTCTTCAATTTAGCTGCAGCTGTTGAGGTTTCTTGCCAGCATCAGAAATAGCCTAAAGAGTATTTATTTTCTTCAGTCATGCATGCATGATGTGTCTGGAGCTGAAAGAGTTTTCATTGAATTTTACGAAGATATTGCTTATTGAAAGTTGTTAGGTACTTAATAAAGTGTAATATAAAAAAAATCTGTTACCAAAGTGATTTTTGAATATTAATACTATTGTGAATTAATATATTTAAAACTAGAATTCTTTCTGTCACTTCTCTGTAGAAAATGCTACTTTTTTTCAGAAGTGTTGACTCGGAAAACTGTTTCTGAAATTTCTGTGATTTGGGCAACAAGGAGTGTCTTAAAAGAATCCACTGATGAGCATTGCAGGAGTTCTGGTTCTTTTGTCATTCTTCTTGTATTTGGGTGCTTCTGCTGCACTGACAAGGGCAAGTGTTTGGGGCAGTATTTGCTGGGCGAACTATTTTACCTTTGTTTTAGAAGTCATTGTTCTGTTCTCATTCTACACATATAAAACTTTCATGAGTTACAGAGCAAGCTATTATCCTAAAATTAGGGGTTTTTTTCTCTTTGAAGTTTGGCTTTGTGAATAGTAGACATCTACAGTTAGCTGGCTTTCCAGGCTGTTTCTGTAGTCACTGACAGCCACTCTTGAACCTATTTTAGGATGAGATGAGCTGCCCACTGGAGGTACTTATCCTAGATTGATTACAGTAGGAGCTTAGATTCAATGCCGTTCTGATAGCTAAAGCTGGGTGAGATGAATTTTGTCCTTGATGATAATGTGTTTCATTCCTTTTCCTCCCATTCACTGCATTCCTCTGCCCTAAGACTGAAATCGATTTGTATTGTATGAATTCTCATGATAAGGAAACTATTAAAAAATATTCTCCTACTAAAACCTCAGTGGCTGTATTTTAGCAACCTGTGTGTGAAGCTGAACAAAGCGATTCTAACGTCCATCTCTCTGAGCCTGAGCCTGACAGACCTTCGAAACAACTTGTACTTCATCCTGTGCTTCAGGAAACCTCAGAACTGGTACATATCACTTTCTGCATTGTACTTCTGTTGATAATTGCATGCGTGTCTTTGCCAACATAATTTTAGGGAATCTCAACTAATTATGATGCAATGTGCAAATAAATTCTTGAATTTTTTAGCTATGTAATTCCTTAACTGCTTCCAATATTGGGGTATGATCCCTTTCTATCACTTACACATTTAAAAATGAGAAGTATATTTTCTTGTGCTAGACCCCAGGTAATAAATGCATGGTGTTAATTTTAGCTCTCCAATACTAATACAACAAATTTGTCTGGGGTTTTTTTGTTCTGTTTTTTTTTTTTTTTTTCGTATTTTTTTTTTTTACCTGCTGAAGTGATGTTTCCAAGCAAGTGGAAAATGAATGTACAGTGAGTCAGGCATAAAGCCTAAGCTGCTAGGCTTTCGTCTGTGATCTTGCGCTGCATTTATCTGTGGGCAGTGTGACAGCAGTGTCAGACTTGGCATTGATGGAGGTGACAGGGTGTCAGAGTTGTGTCTTGTAAGGTACACAACACAGCCATTTCCCTGATGAGGCCTTTTTTACAATTGTGAAGCATTATGGTGAAATACTTTAACACTGAGAAACAAAACTGCAGGTAAAGCTGTAGCTCCTGTGCAGCCAGGAGTGTTTGGGCTCTAGCTAAAATTCTTAATTTCTAAAAACACGATGATTCCTGTTGTCTGGTTAATGGCATCCAGAGCTGTCGATGAGGCTTGCCAACGGTGAAGAAGGAATCTTCATGCATTAAAGCAGTTATGTGTATACAAAGCCTGAAAATTAAATACCAAGTATTGTTGCATATTTGCATATATAGGGTGCAAGCGTGCTCTTTAGAGTATTTATTCAGGTTTAAAATCATGTACAGAGTGGGACCCAGGTGGGGATACATGTGGAAGGATGCAGTTGCCTAAGCATGTCGTGTCATGTTGGCTGTTTGAAATACCTTACCTGGTCTGCAGGTGCAGGTCTGGCACAGCTCCTGTGCCTTATCTGCCCCAAATTGGCAGATGTAATGGGTATTGCAGGGCATTTAGGCAGCTGAAGTCACTGATTCCTGTCCATTACCTTCTATTCTGAAATACCGTTATACTGAATTTGCCAGGGCTTTACTGGAAGGTTGTTCTGGTTGATTTCAATTTTGTTAGTAACATGAGATGAGTTGTTTGCCTTGGAGCCTCTTGGAGTAGTGCTGAAAGCAGGTTTTCGGTAGCTGCCTTGATTAGTCCTGGGATTGGGATGCTCTGGTTTTACGGGCATTGGTCAATCATGGGCAGAGTTTTTCAATTCTGTGGTTGAAATTATCACTAATAATGTGTCTTACATTTGTGCGCCTATGGCGACTCGATCTTGAACCAGGATTCAGAATTTTTGCCTATCATTCAGGATGAACTGGTTCTTGGTATAATGAGTAGTGTCAATCTTCTGAATTAATTTATATGGGTAATGTGTCTCACGTCTGCTGAATAATACTGATCTCCCTAGAGATCAAGTAAAACAAATGACCAAAAAATCCTAGGAGCTTATGTTCACATGAAAGCCTACTGAAGAGAAAATTTGCACAGATACATGGTTACACTTTATTGTAGGAGATACTCTAAACAGGCTGTGTTTGTAATATTCTTGTTGTGTTGTTGCTGAGTATGCCAAGGTCTGAGTTAAGACAAGTAAAATAAATGTTTGGTATGTTCAAAGATACTAGTAGTAAAAGCGTGGGAAAATGAGATCACATTATCAAAGCAAGAATGAATGTTTGAATACTGTTCATTTTATTATTTTAACTGGGACTGTACAAAGCAGAAGTTTGACATTTAAGGTTTAACTTCACAGCTCTGAAATGAGAACAACCAAATGACTGTTTTCCCACTCTTCTGCTTCCTCCCACAGAATGAGGTCGCACATTCCATTTCAGAGCTGTCCATTCACTTCAGAGCAGAAGAACCCAGTCCAGAAGAAGAACGGAGAAAATGGGAGGAAGGGCGCATGGACTATCTGGGGAAAGATTGTTTTGAACATATCAAAAAGAAATTGGATGCATTTTTACGTTAAGATGGAGTGTACTGTAATGGTCACCACGATCTATGTTTCTTCTATAAATGCAATCCCTGAATACTTGGCTGTCTTCATAGTTTATTTGACACCAAAGTTAGAGGTAGAGGTGGATCCTCATATATTTTAAGGGAAGATTAACAGATACAGACCCTAGTTTTTCTAACTGTTAAGTGTGCCTCATCTTCGTTGTTGTGTATGTTTCATCTTCATTGTTCTCCCATAGTGCCTTCTGAAGTATAGTGAATGGTACCCTCAGAGTATGAATGCTCGTATTTATCACTCTAACCTGCTCTTCCCCATAGCATTCTGCAGAAACAGAAGTGAGCATTAAACATGTTGGGAGTTGAGTTTATTTCACAAATTGAGATTATTTCAAAAAATACTTGTAGAAGACGCTATAAAACTGTGTAAATTAAAACCTTGTTCTTGAAACAGAGTTAACACTTTCAAGGGCAGCCATAGTTTACATTTCAATAGGAGAAAAAAGTGAGGAGATAAATCCTGGCCTCACAGGAGTCTGCAGCAAAACTTTTTAAGTAGATTTAGGATTAGAGGAAATTCAGACTTTGTCTGAGATGACTAGTGGATGTTCTCCCTATTTATAGGAAACTGCTCAGCTTCATCACCAGCTTGATGAAG